TGCCTTAGGCACTGCACCACCAGAGCTCCTAGGATTTGCAATACCTTGAAAAATAGTGGTGACGTGAGTCACACCCTCTAGCAAGGCAGGACACAAGATACATCCTGCCCTAAACAGGCATAGAGACAGGATTTACAGTATACACAGCATGGAGGAGGATGGGTGGACGGGCAATGGTTTTTTCCACTCACCGTTGTTGACCAGGACATGGACAGGAATGTTCTTTGCCTTGAATTCCTGTACAAAATGCCGGATGGAACTCATGGATGCCAGGTCACAGTACAAGAAGTCCACTGGGGAAGGAAAGACACACAGGTTACCTCCCGAGCCAAGGCTGGACCACAGAGGCTAAGAGCTTGTCTTAGCAGGTCACCTTCTACTGAAGCTGGTAGAGATGTGACAGAGACAGACACAATGTGGGGGACACACCGTACAGGGACCCCAATGACTCATGGCTCAGTGAGATTGAACATTTCATCAGGAAAGACCTGCTTGGAGAAAAAGAACATCATGTTTGTTGAAGCAGAGGGCCTTGAAAATGGGCGACACCCTCCATGAGATGGACGGACTTGAGGACCACGAGGGACTCAGACGCAGGACCAATGGTGACCCGGTGCAGGACTGGGCCGTGTTCTGTTCTGTGGTACGTGAAGCTGTCCCGAGTCAGAGCCGTCTCCTCGACCACAACTAACGACAGCACAACGCCCTAAAAGAAGAATACCGACTGCTCCGTGGAGACCAGAAGAACGAACAAATCCATCGTAGGAAAAATTCCGTCCGAATGATCCTTCGAAGCAAGGATGGTGAGACTTCAGCTCAATGACTTTGGACACGTGAGGAAGGACCCCTCGCTAGAAAGGGGCATCAAGCTTGGTAAGGTGGGGTCCACCCTCCATGAGATGGGCTAACCCAACCACCACAGCAGTGGAGTCACGCCCACCAATGGTGCTGAGGTGGTTCAGGACCCGGCAGTGTTTCTCTGGAGACTGACAACATGACCCAATTATGTGCGATGAAAAGTCACTCCCCTGGACAGAGATTTTTGCTTCTGTTTTTTTAATTGTGATTTGGGTGAAAGCTGACAGAGCAAATTCACTTTCCAGACAGCAGCTCCCATACACTTTGTCTCATGACATTGACCGCAATCTCCCACAATGCAACAGCTCCCCTCCCACTCCCTCCCCATAGTTACCTCTTCCCTGTGTCCATCCATCCATGCACTCCTGCCCCCTGAGCTGTCTCCCTGTGCACACACACCCCTTCTTTCTCCCATGATTGTTCTCTCCAAGGAGTGTATCTATCTCAGGTACATGTTCACCTCATATGCCTGTCTTTTGTTTGGCTGGAAGCCACAGGTGCGGGTTCAATTCCAGACCTGAAGGGCAGCCAGGGG